GAACGCTTTTCACACGTGATCAAACTGCAGACATCCTCACCGTTCAACGGACACGACTTCTTTACCTGGAGCTTTGAGTTCGAGCTGCTGATGGAGGCTGCGCATCTCTTGGGATACTTCAACGGGTCCCTGCCATTTCCAAGCAATGGGACTGCGAAAGAGCAAGAAATTTTTACATATCAGTCGCTGCTGGCGTACACAGTTCTCCTGCGGAACCTGTCACCACAAGAACAGCAAAGCATCAGAACGTATCGGAGCCATGGAAATTCCGCGGAACTCGCGTGGCATCATCTCAAGTGTCTCTATCAAGCAAACGACAGCGTGACACAAAGCAGACTCATGCAGCAGGTGAGAACAATACAGATGAAGACCGGGGAAAGGCGATGCAGTATATGAGTCGATGCCAGACACTCCGTGACCGCCTGCTTCGGTGCGGAGGAACAATCACTGAAGAACGCTTCGTGACGCTTGTCCTCACTGGGCTCGGGCCAGAATGGAGAACCACCCGCTCGCTCCTTCGCGCCCACGGACGAATCTCGGAGATGCACCTATGCGCCGAGCTCCATGCTGAACAACAGGAGATGGACCTGTTCGAAGAAAGGCAACCAAGGAAACAGCAACCATTAGTCTTCTACACTCAACGAAGGAACGAGAACAACTACAACCGACGCGGCAAACAAGATCAATGCGACAACAGAGGACTCACCATTGTGCCGCCGTTCTGCCACAACTGTCAAACATCCGGACACTCCAATGTCAACTGCACACGCCCACGAGCTTATCGTCCAGTAGACCCACAAGTCGCTTCCACTCAAGAAAGCCCGCCGAGACGCTCCTCCACATCTGCACAAGGTACACCAAACATCATCAACTGCATGGTACACATCGACAACTGCGCACCCGGATCACCACCCACTTACGCTCCAGACGAAGAAGAACTGTCACCACCACGCTCACAAGGACTTCAGGTCAACCCAACATACACTGCAGTTGCCAACGCCGAACCCACCGGGCGAAACACTTGGTTCTTGGACAGCTGTTGCGGACAACATATGTGTTCCTCCGGGCGATTCGTGCAATGAGAACGACGTCTCAACCGAGATGTCATCATCACCGTCGCCAACAACGAGAACCTCAAAACAAACAGACAAGGAGTGGTTCAGTTACAGTCCATGGAGACAAACGTTATACTGCAACTCAACAAAGTTCTCATCGTCGACAATTTGGGATACAACTTACTCAGCGTCAGTCAGTTAATGGCAAAAGGGATTCACCTGGAGTGCGACTCAGACTCCAACGAATTTCGCCTTTACCACGGGAAGGGCGGTCTCTTCATCGGTCGCGCTCTCCTGAAGTCAGGCGTCTTCGTGTTGGATTTCGTCCCCGACCGCGGTACCGCCGACAGCGATGGCATCGTGTCGTTCGCCGCCTGGACGCACCCACTGGACCTTGACCCCGACTTCACCCCAGATGGATTCTGGTACTCCAACACCATACTTGCGGCAGAGAGAACACGAGCGTTAGCAGTCATCAAACAAGAAAGACAAGTGCCAGCAAGCGTCCCTTCCCAAACATCACCTGCAGTAGCAGCAGCAAGACCCAGCCGAGTACCATCACCAGCAATCCGAGGACCACCAACCGAAGCAGATCAACTTATGCCCACCATACGAGAAGTTTGCCGAAGTCCCGCCACGGTCGTCGCGTTCTTCTCCAACACCGACATGTACCAACGCTCGCCCGGCCATCGCGCCTCCGACGACATCTGGCACCAACGCCTTGGGCATCCTGCAAACAGCACGGTACTACAAACCATCCAAGCCGAAGTGTTAGAACGAAACGCTCTTCTTACGACGAGCGGCCAAGAACTTCGACGACCTCGCGCACGGTGCTTCACGTGCCCCGAAACAGATCTTCCCCACCAACCTTTTCCATCACATCACAATCCAAGTGCACCTGCATACGCACCGATGGAAAAAGTTTACAGCGACATCTAAAACATGCCTCGAGACGATACTGAAGCCGACTTCAACTATGTCATCACGTTCATCGATGCAGCAACAAGATATATCTGGCACTACAACCTCAAAACACGCGATCAAGCTTTCGAAGCCTTCACGACGTGGCTCCCCATCGCCGAACGAGAATCAGGAACCAAGCTCAAGAGCTTCCAGTCAGACGGCGCACTCGAATACCAGTCACAATGCTTCAGGAACTACATGGCGGAAAGAGGAATTAGACGACTGGTGTCTCTGCCCTACGCTCACCAGCAGCAGGGGGTCGCAGAAAGAATGAACCGGACCTTGCAGACAACGATGCGGAAGCTGCTCCTAGGGATGAGACTGCCCAACGCACTGTGGCCAGACGCGATGACCCATGCAGTCCACCTGCACAATTTGTTCTCCTCGTCCTCGCTTCCCAACAACGCATCACCACACCTGCTGTGGACACGAAAAAGGGGCAGCACAAAATTACTTCGGGTTTTCGGCTGCATGGTACAGTACAGACCCACACAGCCCGAACAGGACGTTTCACTCAACGAGCAAAGTGGGGACTACACCTCGGCATCGCCAAACATTTCCAAGCATGGAAACTCCTCGACATTCAAGACAAAAGCACCGTGGCATCACGTGATGTGATCTTCTACGAACGACTGACACTGCAGCATTACCTGGACAACGTCGCCAACACAGACGACCCCACCGACGGCTTTGCGGGCCTTCGCTCCTTCGCCGACTGTGCTGCCGAGGCTAACGGAGCAGAAGAAGACGTACCTGGAGCTTCGGAAGCTGCCGGACCACTCCCTTACTGTTCTGTGCCTGTACCACGCGACGAAGACAATCCCCTCGATAGCAACAACCTCGACACCCTTTACCACTTTGCTGACCAGGGTTACGTTACACCTCACCCGGTCGACACAAATGTCTCAGAACGCATCGGCCCGAACTTCTTACCTGATCCAGAAGATGGTGACGAAGCAACCTATTCGGGGAATGAAAATTCCCCTCGACACACACCCACAGGACTGCAGATACTCGGCTTATGGGTCTCCGTCCAGCATCCGCCGCCGCCATCTCCGCGCGAGCCAACGACTTTGTCGCAGGCTCTTGGGGGGGAACACAAGGCGAAATGGAAGGAGGCAATGGAAAAAGAACTGAAAGCTCTGCAAGACCGAAATACATGGAAGCTGGTACCTGCAACGAACATCAACGGGAAGAACGTTCTCTCGGCAAAATGGGTATACCGCATCAAGACCAATGCGGACGGCTCCATCGAACGATTCAAAGCTCGATGGGTCGTACGAGGATTCGATCACGATACGGAACTGACTACACAGAAACATTCGCCCCAGTCTCCCGTCACACCTCCTTGCGCATTCTACTCGCCGTCGCGGCCACGAAAAAACTACCACTGCGCCAGATCGACGTCGCAAATGCCTTCCTGTACGCACCTGTGGACGCCGAGATCTTCGTCGAGCAGCCCCACGGATTCATCGACGACCCCACAAAAGTGTGCCAGCTGATAAAATCCCTTTACGGGATCAAGCAAGCCCCGCGGCTTTGGCAGCAACACCGTCACGGTCGCCTCGTCAGAATCGGATTCCTACAGCTGCCGCACGACCAAGGCATGTACCGACTACAGAAAGAAAAGGAATTTATCATACTCATCGTCTACGTCGACGACCTGCTCTACATCGGCTCCACTACCGACATCGCCACCTGGTTCGAAGGGGAGCTGAGATTTGACTTGACACTCACAGTGTCTGACACCGTGACCTTGTACCTGGGTCTAAACGTCGTCGAAGACAACTCGGCGTTCTATCTACACGTTGGAAAGTACCAGGCGTTGTCGCGAAGAAATTCGGACTAACGCCGACTAGTCACGACTCCCTACCTCTACGGGAACAACAACAACACCTCCGCAAAACTCCTCGCGAAGCAAATCCAGGAGTATCAGCAGAAGCTTGGATGCCTACTGTTCGCAGCAGTAACCTGCCGACCTGACCTATCCTACAGCGCGAGTCAACTGGCGACGCATCTGAAGCAGCCGGAACAAGAAGATCTCGAGGAACTTAATCGAGCACTACTCTACTTCGTCTCTACGCCAACGACCGGACTTATCTACAGTAAAGAAACAGCATCGTCCGTACAACTACTCGGATACGTCGACGCCGACCACGCGGGAGACAGGGAAAACCGACGCTCGAGAACAGGCTACATCTACCGACTAGAGCCCATCGGGACTATCTCCTGGCAGTCGAGCAAACAGGAACTAATCGCACTATCTTCGGCTGAAGCAGAATATATCGCCCTCTGCACTACGACCAAGGAAGGACTTTACCTGCGAGAGTTACTTGAGGAAGCAAAGATTGCGACCCTGCCCGTCTCCTCACTCCTCTGCGACAACCAATCTGCGATGAAGATCGCGAACAAGGACGGCTTCGCCAACCGAACCAAGCACATCGCCCTGCGATACTTCTTCGTCAAGGATGAAATCGCGAAGGGGAGACTTCAACTCAGTTACTGCCCTACGACAGAAATGGCCGCAGGCTACCTGACGAAGAAACTGGCGAAGGCAAAGTTCGATTACTGCATGCTGCTGACCGGGCAGATAAACGTCGCCGGATCTCCAGAAACGAAGGGGAGTGTTGGAAATATCTCAAGGACTTAAGCGTTTCTGAAGTGTAACACCACACTCGAGGAAGGTCGTAACGGGTACGCGAGTCAATGGAGGTTACACGAGGGGGTGGACAAAGAACACGAAAGGACTCGAAGGGTCGCAACTGGAGGTTGCGACTGACAGTTACAACTGCAAAGATGGTAACCGAAGCGACAATCGAGTCGATGTGCGACTCGATAACCGCTCTTTCAACTGTATTCTACAACTGCTTTACTCTCCTGCTTTCTATATATTGCTGTATGCTTGTTCCTTTAATCAATCACTTGTTCTCATATACTAGTACAAAGGTTCAACTACTCAACTTCCGCTGCACTACTCAAGTCTCCTTTTACAACTGGGACTTAGTCTCTGGAAAGATCCTAAGGGCTTTTTCTCAGCCCAACAAGAATGTCCAGAGAAAATTGGACTAAGGGAGGAAGGCTAAGGGTTACAAAGGTGGGAATGTACCCTCTAAGAACTGACCTAACTAAGGCTATAACAAATATACTGTACCTAGCATAGACAATTATATTTGTTGACAGAAAGTTCATCTCAACATATTGCAGTGCTTGCATCTACTAAAGCTGTGGCGGCAAGAGGCAAAATAACTTCCCCCCAGGTGTGACGGTCGGCCGCGAGCCGTCAGTACTTCATGCGGCCCTCGTACGGTACAATGGCGCCCTCCACCAGCTCCACGCGCGCCATCTGCACACCTAGCTCGCGCGCCACACGCAGCACCACAAACTCCTCGCGCTCCTCACACACCGACACCACCACGCCGCGCCGCCCCAGGCGCCCTGTGCGGCCGGCGCGGTGCGCGTAGTGCGCGGGCGAGGCGGGCAGCTCGAGGTTGACCACCAGATCGCACTCCACCACGTCCAGCCCGCGCGCCCCCACCTCCGTCGCCAGCAGCACGCGCACCCCGCCCTCCCTGCCGGGCCACGCCAGCCATGCCATGCCATAACATGAGGTGGGGAAAATGTGGAGCGGAATTGAGGAGGGCTGGTGAGGTTGCAGTGAAACAGTTTACAGCCAGAACGCTGCTAGGGCAGCCGGGGAGGAGGCAGGTGGCAGGAGGCTGGGCAGTGAACAAGAGAGTGGCGCATGGAGGCGCTGTGTGCACCAAGGGATGGCCGCCTGCAGCCAGCACACATGGAAATCGCTGCCTGCCGGTCCAGTGCAGGGCTCAGCTCAGCCATGGCAACGATGGCCAGCCACGGTCCGTGTTGCATCGCCACATGCTTGGACCCCAAGATGCGGGGAGCAGAAAGCCCAGGCAGAGGGTGGAAGGGTAGAGATAAGGCTGCTGAGGTGACATCAAACAACGGCTGCCGGGTCACACACCTGGGGAGTAAAACAACACGCTTAAGCGGCACACTTGAGGGAGGGCGGCACCGAGGGAGGGCGGCACCTGAAGGGGGGGTGGGGGCACACCTGAGGGGGGGTTGGCACCTGAAGGAGGGTGGCATCTGAAGAAGAATGGCACCTGAAGGAGGGTGGCACCTGAAGGAGGGTGGCACCTGAAGGAGGGTGGCACCTGAAGGAGGATGGCACCTGAAGGAGGGTGGCACCTGAAGGAGGCCATGATGTTGGTGCGGGCGAGCTTGGAGATGTTGCCGTGTAGCGCGGCGGCGGACAGCCCCCTGGCCTCCAGCTTGTGCTGCACGTCGGAGAGGCGGCGGGCGAAGTTCATGAAGACGATGGCGGAGCGCGCCGCCAGTGCACGCACACAGCGCCGCACCACGTCCACGCGGTGCCGGCTGTTCACCACTATGTAGCTGCACGGATGGAGGGGGGGAGAATGAGGGACGCAAGAAACAGAGGGAAGGTGAAAAGGGTTGGCGTGGGACGGGGAGGAAGCAAAGGGAGCAGAGCAGGGAGGGCGATGATAATCATCCGTGCCGAGCCCATCTTTCACACTCCCCAAATCCAAACCTCTCACCACAACCGTGCGAATGCAACGAACGTTTCACACATGCAACTGAGAAACTGGCAGAACAGCTATGAGGCGAGGGCCGTCACCAGTGCTCCAGGTTGGGCGGCAGGCTGTCTCCCAGCGCCACAACCGGCGCCTCCACACCACCCCGCCCCAGCGACGACAGCAGCCCTCCTGCCACCCCTGCTGCCTGCGGCGGAATCACGAGCGCCCCGTGTGAAGGAACCGGAAGCAGGCCAGTGGCAGGCGAGCTGCCACTTGCAGCAGCAGCAGCGGCGGCGGCGGTAGTTCGGCCGTCGATGGGGCGCACGGCGTCTTGCTGCAGGAGCAGGGGGTCCACGCCCCACTTGCACGCCGCCTCCAGCACGGGCCGCGGCACTGTGGCCGACACCATCACCAGCTGCCGCTCCGCCCGCGCCCTGGTGGCACCCGCTGATGACGGCTGTGCACTGCTGGTGCTGGTGCTGGTGGGCGCAGGTGGGTGAAGGTATCTGTGGGGGAGAGCGAGCGAGACGCAGGGGAGGTGGAGAGACAATGAGAGCAGGAGGTTGAAGAAGAGGACGAGTGGAGTTTCAGAGGGACTAGTGGAGTTTGAGAGACGAGTGGTGTTTGAGGGGGACGAGTGCGCATTCATGCTGCCTTGCTTGTGATGCACCAACAAGTGCGCCAGCATGCCTGTCGCCCACTTCCTGTTCGCTCATGGTAGGTCAGCGGTGTTGATACACTCGCTTGAGCAAGAGGAACAAATAACAAAACGAAAAGTACACGTCTTAAGAAAAACAGAACCCAAAATGTGTGGACCACAATGCCCCTCACTTCCAGTGCTCCACTCACTTCCAGTGCTCCACACACACTCTCACTTCGCCCCACTCACTTCCTCTGCCCCTCTCACTTCCGTCGCCCCACTGCATCCATTGCTCCACTCCCTCCCTGCCCTGCCAAATCCCTCCCTTCCCTGCCACGCCCTCCCTGCCGTGCAACGCACTTGCGTGTGCCCACGTGGTCGAGGATGCGTAGCATGTCCATGCGGAAGCGGTGGCTCAGCAGCATGTCCGCCTCGTCCAGCACCAGGAACCGGCACCCGTGCGTTGCCAGCCGCCCCGCGCGGCTGCTCTCGGCGATGCGGCCGGGCGTGCCCACCACGATAAGCGGCCGGTGCTTCTTCAGCGCCTCCTCCTGCCGGTGCGGGTTCGCCCCGCCGATCAGCTGCTGCACACAGCGCTGCGCGGAGCGAGCAAGGGGGAAATGGGGGACGTGCGGGGGGGAGAGGGACCGGAGTGTGAACAGCGGGAGGGGAAAAACGGAAGGTGGTGCGAGATGGTGCGTTGTTGGGCAAAAGAGAGTGCGCATGTTGGAGGACAATGCGTGGTAACTGGGGGCGGAAGAAGAGCACGAGGAAGGACTTTAATCCTTTCAGCGTTCAACTTGTGCCCCTGCCCCCCCTCCCCCTCCCCTCACATTGTGCGCCTCCCCTCACCTTGTGCTCCTCCCCTCACCTTGTGCTCCTCCCCTCACCTTGTGCTCCTCCCCTCACCTTGTGCTCCTCCCCTCACCTTGTGCTCCTCCCCTCACCTTGTGCTCCTCCCCTCACCTTGTGCTCCTCCCCTCACCTTGTGCTCCTCCCCCAGCACTCGCTCCGCCTCGCGCACTATCTGCATTGCCAGCTCCCGTGACGGCGCCACCACCACCGCCTCCACTCCCCCTCCCCCTCCCCCTCCCCCTACCCCCGCGCTGCCCTTCTTGCTCCCCTTTCCCTTGCCCGCGCCCTCCTGGCCCCCATCAGAGGGCGCGCTGAGCGGCCCCACGGCGGCGAGGATGGGCAGCAGGTACGCGAGCGTCTTGCCCGACCCCGTGTACGACTGCAGCACGCCGTCCGCGCCTGGGGGGGGGGGGGAGTTAGGGGAGGTGGGGACGACGGAATGGGAGGGGGGGAAGTAGGGGGAGGAGGGGTAGGACAGACGTGGGGAGTTCAGGGCATGAATGGGAGGACAGACGTGGGGAGTTCAGGGCATGAATGGGAGGACAGACGTGGGGAGTTCAGGGCATGAATGGGAGGACAGACGTGGGGAGTTCAGGGCATGAATGGGAGGACAGACGTGGGGAGTTCAGGGCATGAATGGGAGGCTTTGGATGGACGAGCAATCGCGACGACGGGCGGAGAAAGACGAGGAGAAACGATGGCGGATACGCGAGACGAATGGGGGAGAGGGAGAGGGGGAAGGGCGAGGGGGAAGGGAAACAAGGACGGGGTTATGGGACAAGGGCGGAGTTATGGGACAAGGGCGGAGTTATGGGACAAGGGCGGGGTTAAGGGACAAGGACGGGGTTATGGGACAAGGACGGGGTTATGGGACAAGGGCGGGGTTATGGGACAAGGACGGGGGCTATGAGCCAAGGGTGCGGGTTAAGGGACAATGGTGGGTGGAGGGGAGAATGGGAGTTAGGGAGGAAGCGGGAGACGGAGGAAGTGACACAGCATGCGCTGCCCATGATGGCCTCCGTTGCTGCGTCGCAAGGCAGCCGGCACCTTGCAAGAGGGCGGCACCTTGCAAGAGGGCGGGCACGGCTTGGCGTTGGATGTCGGTGGGGTCGCGCAGCCCCAGCGCCGCCACGCGCGACGACAGCGCCGCCGGCAGCCCCAACGACGCGAAGCCCTCGCCGCGTGACTCCGACCTCCGCTCGGATTCCGCCGGCGCTTCTCTTTCCCGCGCCGGCGCTTCTCTCGCGCCTCTCCCTACCGCACCATCACTGTCGCCTCCCGCCGCGCGCACGGCGCCTGTCGCCGACTCCGCTCGCCCAGCATCCGCCTGCGCCGTGCCCGCGTGTGCATGAGGTCGCACGCTCGGCGCACAGGAGGATTGCGCGCAAGGCGGAGCGGCAAGCGTCAGAGGGCGCGCAGCAGTGCGCAAAGGGGATATAAAGGTCACTCTTAGACCGAACAGACACGCGTCCGTAAATACCGGGAGGCGCGCAGTGAGGGCGTGCGATGGCATGTGCAGCCCCATGGTTGGCACGTCGCGAAGTTGCCGCTAACCGCGCTTGGGAGCAGTTCTGAGCGCAGAAATGACTTGGGGTTTGGCGTACTGTGTGACCATAAAAAAAAACAAGAGGTGACGAGATCGTCTTAGGGTTGCGGAGCATTCGACGAGGAGACTTTATTATACATAAATGTTTGATTTTCAACCCAAATAATCACTCCGTTTGTTGGATAAAAGCCGGCATTTTCCATATCAAAAACAAACAGTTGATTATTATTTCCATATCACAAGAACAAATGATCGTGCTTCACATATTTATTTGAAAATTGAGGCATTATGTGAGAATTGAGTTTAAATGAGGCACAACTTGGAGACTGAAAGAATTATTCACTATGAAAGTCGAACCCAAGAGCTTCTAGGTCAAAGCTGTCTTTCAATGATCTGAACTAATTCACACGTAATTCAAACGAATTGTCAATAAAGGAAATGTTAAATTTGCGACAAGGGTCCAACAACTTCAGCGATCGCTTCTACTTTTCCTCTCGCCTAACAATCTCATCAGCAGACCTACCTCTCATAGCACAGGTATGTCGTTCAGCAGAGCTACCTCTCATAGTTGCCTCTAATTTCCTCACCTTTCCTACCGTAATCCCCCGTATAAAACACCCTATGGTGTTAATAAAAATGCAGCGAAATTTTGGGCTGGGTGTAATTAAAGGCAAAAAAAATAAAACACCCAGGAGTTATGGAATGTGCATATGCATTTTTTTTATTGGAATTCAAATGTGCATGTTTCACCACCTTCATTTGAGTCACATACCCACTTTTGGTCATCTCATTGCATACCGGCCGATATTGCCCATTTAAATGCCACATTGGCACTGCGCGTGCAATGTCAGAGAGGATGCTGCCAGAACAACCAATCGGCACACGTTTGATTTGGCGGGACACGCGAAAATCAAGTACAGTATGAAACTTCCAGATTTCAATGTTCTCGGTGCCTTTGTTTTCGTTCGGGCAGATTCGTCTCCTACCTAAATACCCGCGTCGCGATGGCCACGAGCTCGTTTTCCCCACTTACTTTGACGTGCATACAGTTGCCCCAGCAGGAGTGGAAAAAACGAATGGTTGGACACATCTACGCACCGCAAAATTCTAGTGTTTCCTGCTAAAAGTGGAGATTGTAGGTGGCAGGGGGGTGTTCAAAAGTTTTCACGTCCGAAAGTAGGGTGTTGTGTATATCCAGAAAAATTAAACACCCATACCCGCTCAAGCTACCCGGGGGAGCTTAATTCCGGCGGGTGTTTTGTACGGGGGATTACGGTATCTTCTTTCCGCGAACTCGATGGTTCTAGGTCGGGATATTGGGCTGCAGCCCATTTCGACCTTGTTCTAGGTCGTATTAGTGGGCTGCAGCCCATTTCAGCCTAGTTCTAGGTCGATCTACAGGGCTGCAACCTATATCGACTTCGTTCTAGGTCGATTTTAGGGATTGCGACCCTTTTCGACCTAGATCTAGGTCAATGTATGGGGCTGCAGCCCACTACGACCTAGATCTAGATCTATGTCGATTTATTGAGCTGCAACCCATTTTGACTTCCGTTTTGCCGTTTTTCTGCAACCCTTCTTCTTACTTTCTTGTATCATGCTCTAATTTGTGTTCACCGTCTGTTTCTTGCTCTACTTCTTGCCTTGTTTCCTGATCCCCTCTAATTCCCTTGGTATTCTTGTATACTTGATACAGGATTCGAAGCACTCGTGAAAGCTGAAAAGTGGCTTCGTTATGGGCGTCAGCTAAACACCGTTTCTATTCCAAGCCGTCTGAATTGCATTGTTGCTTGTAAAAAAAAAAAAAAAAAAATGCTTGCTGATGATTTTCTTGCTATCGTAAAATGTATTATCATACAGTCGACATAATAGGCTTTCGACTTCCCCCACTTAGCTGGGGAAGCAATAGCCTATTTTTGTCAATGACAAAAATACGCCACTAGAAATAATGGGAAACAATGACAAACATTTTAGATTCAAATCAATTAGGGAAACTAAAAGTTATTGGGAAATTCATTTTAAAAAAAAAGATTTGGTAGTTTTTTTTCCAAATTACAAACTTGAAAAAAAAAATCCTTACGATCGATCGCAATAGGTTGCTCCGCAACCCAAAAAAAAAATCCTTACGATCGATCGCAATAGGTTGATCCGCAACGCAAAAAGGATAGTTCTGCTGTAACGAACATTGCAGGTTGTTATGAATTAATCAGAGTAATCACATGTAGTGTAATAAAGGAGTCGTGATTCAAGAGTGTCGATACAAATGAGGGCCTAGGCATTTATAGGCACGAACAGAGCTAGCCGAGAACCACGCGAACAGGTTGGGGCGGTCCGGTTGGCGAAAGCTATGGAAGCGTTGCGCGTCTAGTTTTGGGTTCGCGAAGTGGTTCGGGACCGAAGAAGTTGGCCGGGCCCTATACTGGATAGGGGCAGTGCTTGATGAGAGAGAAACAGCTCAGGGTGGCACTACTAGTCCAGCCTCTGAGGCAGGGGTCTAAAGACCAGTCAAACAAGTACAGACAAGGCAAGAGCAAGACCAGGACGGCACTACTAGTCCAGCCACTTGGAAGAGGCCACAAGGCCAGTCAGGGTAATATATATAAAGGTCTGTACACAATCAAGGTCCTAGCAAGTGAGAGGCTACAGGAACGAGACCTAGCTGTACACAGTGCCACTGATGATCTTTAGGCCCAAGCGCCTTACTAAAGATATCAACTGTGTTGGCACCGGAGGCCAAGTGTACTTCGCGAGCCTGGCGACGCTGCTGCAGCTCGGGCAGGAGGAAGTACCGCAGCTGGATGTGCTTCGCTCTGCCCTCAAGTTGTGGCTCCTGACATAGGAGAATGATGGCCCTGTTGTCAGCGTACAGGACCGGGGCAGAGCTAGGCTGCTCACCCAGGTCTGTGAGCAAGAAGGTCAGCCAGCGGAGCTCCTGTGCCACCATGGCACCGGCGTAGATCTCGGTCTCACAGCCAGACTGGACAACAGACAAGGAGAGGGTGGACCTCCACGAGATGGCACCTGCACCAAGGCTAAAGTATTAGCCCTGGGAGGACCTGAGAGTCTCGGCGTCGTCTGCCCAAGAAGCGTCTGCGTGTCCGGTAAGGACCACTGGACTGCGTCCTCCTAGCACTATCCCCATGCCCGATGTACTTGCTAGATAACGCAAAACCCACTTAGCGGCCGACCTGTGAGAGTACGACCCCGTAACACCACTTGGCCTTTTCTTATTTCCTTCCTTTTTCATTTCTCTTTTATTCCATCTCATTTGGTTTCCTATTCTTCCTTTTCCATTCACCTTTGGTTTATCATGCTATGATAATTATATCACCGACCAGGCTTGGGATGTACTGGTGCGCTCTATCTAGCGTACTCCTGCTGTAATCCCTTAAAGCCAATAGCCTCGCGTGGCTATACGCAGGGTGATTCTATCTTCTAGAAGGGTCTATTCCCCTAGGATAAGATAAATCTGGTTACCTGATGTACTCTGGAAGTATAAAAGCGCCTTGTACTGATCGATAGTGCAATCTTTCTTCGACACATTCGATCCTGTGACACTTGGTAATCAGAGCTTTTCTCACTCGGCCGCGCTCAACAAAGCAGCAGCAGCGGGAAAACCTGCCTCGAAAAACCGCCGGGGGCGACCAATTCGACGCCGATTCTGGTAAGCACCAGCTCCGCGATTTTCGAATTACCTCCTCCGTGCGTGTTTTGAACAGGATGGCAACCTTCGACAACTCCGAGGTTACCCAGCAGCTCTTCGCGCGCATCGCAGCCCTTCAGGAGGAAATGCGAGCGGATCGCGAAGCGTGGCGAAACGAGTTCGAGCGAGTAACTCGACACGCCGGAGCGCAGCACGAGACGACAACGGCGACGACGCAGCAGTCGCAGCAGTTTCTCGAGGCTCCGAAACCGCGCCCACCTGAGCCGTTCGATCCGAGCGATCGAAACTCCAACGCCCGCAGATGGATCGCCAGGATGGAGATCTACTTCGCAGCCGTCGGATGGAGCTCGCCAGTCTGGGACGGTCAACGTGTACGACTCGCAGCGACACTGATGCGAGGGCCGGCACTCGAGTGGATTGGCGGCAACAGTACCTTCATCCACGGTGAAGCCACGTGGCAGCAATTCCGCGCTGACCTGCTGAAACGCTTCGAGCCGATAAATTCCAGTTTCCTTGCCCGGGAAAAAATTCATCGACACCGACAGCTCGGGAGTGTAGCGCAGTACACGCAGCAGATGGAGGAATTTTATAACCGCATTCCCGACCTGACCGAAGGGGAAAACGTACAATCGTACCTCGCCGGGCTGAAGACCAAAGTCAAACGCCAGGTAGCAGCGTCAAACTACGCGAGCTACAGTGACGTCGTTTCGGCAGCGGAGCGCTTCGACATGGTCAACGCCGGAACACGACGGACGCACGTCGGCAGTACGCGACAGGGCGACCGCTCGGCTCACCCCACGTTCGCCGACCCGATGGAAGTCGACAGATTCGAGGGGCGGCCATGTCCGAAAAACACCAATTACACGTGTGATTTTTGCGGGGTGCCGGGTCATCGAATCTTCGACTGCAGCAAAATGAAAGCCGCACGTGCAGAGTATCGGGCACGCAACAGTGGCGGAATTCCTTCAGCCAATCAGAAGCCAAAAAACGGGAGTCGCCAGTGATTGCGGATCTAGCTGGCGAAAATAAAAAGATCCGAAAGCGGCCGTGGGATTCCGGGAAAATCAACTTCGACGAAGCTGATTCGACGCAAGAAAGAGGAAATGATGGGGGAAAATCTCCACCCCACGACCAGTCTTCGCCAGGGAAAATCGCCGAGGAAAAATACGACTCCGCGAAAAAAGACTTTGCCGAGACACGGAAACTCCTTGAAGACCCAAGAAATTATAAGAATTCGTTAAAGTTATCTTATAAAGATGCTTTAATGAAAACTTATGATTTTCGAGGAGCTAGAGCCTTGGAGAAATTTCGGGAGGGACTCCAAAAGAAGCAGACAGCTGTGGAGATTATACCGGTACCGGACAACTTGGGGAAAAAATTAAGGAGT